GCCTTTTGCTTTGTTTAACATTGGAGACCAGTGTTATTGAAATGCTTTAATTCAGTTGCTGAGCCTTTCTATTTCATGGTCTTTGAGACAAGACATTAGACTTCTGCTTGGTATGATGAAGTGCATGATACACAACTTCAGGGAGGAAAGATGTCTTTTTGATTATTGTTTCAGAGATCCCAGTATGTGGTTAGCTGACTCCATTTCTTTGGAGCTAAGGTGAAACCTTTGGAGGAGGAGAAAGCTGCCTACCTCATAGCAGCAGGGAAGGCAGACAGACAGACAGACAGATACACACACACACACACACACACACACACACACACACACACACACACACACACACAGAGAGAGAGAGAGAGAGAGAGAGAGAGAGAGAGAGAGAGAGAGAGAGAGAGAGAGAGGCAGAGATGGACCTTCCAAGAATATGTATGGCCCTAGTGATCTAATTCCTACAGCTAGGCCCCACCTCCTAAAGTCTCTGGAGCCTCCTAATGTCACATAATGGAGACTAGGCCTTCAGTACATGAACTTGTAAGGGATGTGGGAAATATTTCCTATCTGAACCATAGGGAGCAGTTTGCCTGGAAGTGCATTACAGAGAAACATTGCATCAGAGAGGTTCCTCTTGACACCCCTCAAAACCAAAATTTGCACACCCACCTGGCAAAAAATTTACCTCACCTTTTACTCTTTAATTTCAATACTGAATTTAATACTGTTAGAAATGAATAACAGGAAAAGAGCAAATTTATCCTTGATTGCATAACATAAAACTTCAAAGTAATGGTTTACATTATAATAAGTTCATGTGTGCAATCTTCATAGCCTTTAGTAATTTAGGTTAAGCTTTTATGAACAATACTGTGATTTAGAGTTTTGTTATCATATTTTGTAATTAGTATACTTATTTGGCTAAAATATTTAGTCATTCTTTCCTGATAGTCTGATTAATGACTTGATGAGGATAACTTTCTTTGCTCTTAGATTGATATTTTTAATAAGCTGAAATAAGCTAAATATGTAGCACCACATTTTTACTGTATATTCACACATATATGTATCATGTATTTATGTATATAATTATCAAAAAAGTCAAAATTAGCAGTACAATGTTATATTTGTTTCTGTGGCTTAGTAGTATAATTTGAGATCAAGCATTTGGTTATCTCCAGTATTCCTCTCTTCTTCTTCTTCTTCTTCTTCTTCTTCTTCTTCTTCTTCTTCTTCTTCTTCTTCTTCTTCTTCTTCTTCTTCTTCTTCTTCTTCTTCGAGACAGGGTTTCTCTATGTAACAGCCCTAGCTGTCCTGGAACTGGTTCTGTAGACCAGGCTGACCTCGAACTCCCAAAGATCCACCTGCCTCTGTTTCCCGAGTACTGGGATTAAAGGCATGTGCCACCACCACCCAGCTCCTCTTTCTTAAGATCACTTTCTCTATTCAGGTTATTTTGTACTCCCATATAAGTTTTAGAATTTTTTCCTAGTTCTGTGATTACTGTCATTAACATTTTGATGAGGGTTTCATTGGGTTTGTAGATTCTTTTCAGCACTAGAGCCTCTTCTCTAATATTCTGTATAGTGACTTGTCATCTGTCAGTTTGGATATCTCTGTCAGCTTTACTTCATCAAGCAATCTACTCTTCAGGGCTCAATGCCCAGTGCCTGTCAGAAGGAGTAAAGCAAACTGTTGTAACTGCAGTGACATCAAACTGACATTAAATAAAGATACAGAAACACACGTTAGATGAATTAAAGCTGAATAAGACAATACCTGACCATAAAACAGAAAATGACAAAACAGATGTAGAGTGTGATGGAGTTGAAAATGATTTATGGTCCATATAGAAACAATGAAGATAAAGGAAAAAGGCAGGGAAGTGGGATGAGGAGAAGACAGGCTAAATGAAGGACAGGAAAAGAGAAGAGGGATGGAGGAGAATGTTATAGAGGAAGAGGAAAAAAGACTTAAAAACCCAAACATAATTTTAACAGCAATTTCCCAATAACAGAAGCATTCAAATATAAAACTTAGAGGGAGAATTTTAAAAATCCGAAAATATTCTTAAAAACCAACTAGGATAAGTCAAAATATTGCTAATAGTTCGGAAATGTGAAAGGAGGAAACAGGTCAAAATTGAAAGAAAAAGAAAAACCAACCCACTATTGTACCAGTGTGCATGCCTTGTCAGGCATGTGCATGTTATTGTAGCTTACAAGTTCACAGCTGGACGAGATTGATGCTTCTTTCTATCGTAGTGTGCATTGCACCTTCTAGCACTATGAAAGCTAGTGGGGATGAAGCTTCCAGATCAGTTCCAGCTGGTGTCTTCAACAATAGTGTCTTGCCCTCAATTGCTAAAGGGCAACAAAGAGCACTGGCAATAGCCTGTAATGTTTAGTGGTCTGTGGGACCTTACTGGCCAGCAACTAACTCCCAGAGAAGTAACCCATTCCTGGCACTGGCTTTTCTATTTGCTAGTCTTGGTGTCCAGTTGGGACATTATTGTCTTCTTATAGGGTAACTCCATTTTAACTGTGCATGCATGTGCGTGTGTGTGCACGTGTGTGTAATTTTTATGGTAGTAGGTTTCTGCATGCCCTTTTCAAAAAGTCTTTAGTTTTTAATTCCTCTTTGTATTCCTTCTACCCTGATGTCCCATTGCTACTCAATTTAACACTTCCTGTTCCATTATTCCCCTTTAATGCCTGATACCGGTGTAATAGTGGCAGGTACATCATGGGAGTGACCAACTACTTTGCAATTCAATTTATAAGGTGAAATCTGGCATGATTATCAGGCCAGGAGCCTGTAGATAGGCAGGTCATAGTCACTAGGAAGAACCTATTACTATTATTCTGTTACATGGATAGTATTAAACCAACTACTAATTACTTCTCATTATACCAATACATTAATTGCATCTCTTAATTCTCATCAGAGAAACTTCTATTTGCCATGGATGTTTATTGACACAGATACACAACTGGGCAGGCTGCTAAGACTAAGAAACTGCAGAATGTTTAGCCCTAAAGAGAACCTAAATGCAGTACTGCCTCCTCTCAAAGCTCACAGGGTTCATTTTAGAAGAGGAGGTAGACAGAGTGTCAGAGCCAGAGGCAGTAGATGACTAAAAAGAAACAGTGTCTTCTGAACACAGCAGGGTGGCTGCACAAGAGAACTCACAGCCATATGGGAAAATCCAGGGAGAACTGTGGGGTTGAGTATGATCAAAATCCATTGCACAAAACTATAACAAAATATTAAGCAATGAAAAGGGGAAGTAAAAGTTCCCTAATAATAAAAAGATATATAAAAACTTAACACAGTGACCCACAGCTGGCCAAGGTGCAGAGAAAGAGAGACTGGAACTCTCAGCTCTAAAAGGAACATGTAGACTGCATTCTCCCTAAGGCTCAGGGAACATTGCAGAAGAGGGAGACAAAAGAGTGTAAGCGTCCAAGGTGGCGGGGGATGACAAGAAAACTCTAGACACAGCAGGGCAGTTTCACATTCGAACACATGGCAGCTGGTACAGAATGCACAAGACCAGTGCACATCCAAGCCAGACGAAATCTCAGTGTGGAGAGCTGAGCGCACAGTCCCACCATTAGCTACGGTGCTCCTGGCCACTGTTAGCTGCCAGTAGGAGGGACAGCGTTCTTACAGTGTAGCCCTTGGGAAGTGGGCCACCCCCCAGTGGAAGGACGCACAGCCAGGAATATTTGGCCACTACAAATTGGTCTTGCGGAATTGAAAGATACAAAGCAGGGTTGGTAGGCCATGGGGGAATGAATCTGTGATAAGCTGCAGGGGTTGGTGTGAATGTGAATATGATTTAAACATGTTACAAAACTCTCAAAGAAATAATGAAAATGCATACGACTGCTAAAAGAGATGAATCTATGAAGAGAAATATAACGAAGTGAAAACAGCTCTAGAGTGTAAGGGGAAAAAAAACTGGCTGGGCCGTGGTGGCGTACGCCTTTAATCCCAGCACTTGGGAGGCAGAAGCAGGTGGATCTCTTGAGTTCAAGGCTATAGGGCTGGATTTGTGGACATGTATTGTTTAAATCTGGTTTTATCATGGAATATCTTGTTTTTTCCATTTATAGTGATTGAGAGCTTTGGTAGGTTTAGTAGTCTGGGCTGGCATCCATGGTCTCTTAGTGTCTGCAGAATGCCTGTCCAGGACCTTCTGGCTTTCAGATTTTCCATTGAGAAGCCGGGTATAATTCTGATAGGTCTGCCTTTCTATGTTACTTGGCCTTTTTCTTTTGTATTTCTTAATATTCTTTATTCTGTATATTTAGCGTTTTGATTATTATGTGGTGAGGGGACTTTTTTGGGGGGAGGTCTGGTCTAATTAATGTTCTCTAGCTTCTTGTACCTTCATAGGCATGTCCTTCTTCAGGTTGCGAACGTTTTCTTCTGTGATTTTATTGAATGTATTTTCTGTGCCTTTGAGCTGGAATTCTTCTCCTTCTATCCCTATTTTTCTTAAGTTTGTTCTTTTTATGGTTTTCTAGATGTTTTGTGTTAAGAATCTGCTGGATTTAACATTTTGTTTGACCAATGAATCTATTTCTTCTATCATATCTTCAACGCCTGAGATTCTCTCTTCCATCTCTTGTATTTTACTGGCTATGTTTGCATCTATAGTTCTGGATCATTTACTCAGATTTTCCATTTCCAAAATTCCCTTGGTTTGTGTTTTTTTTATTGCCTCTGTTTCAATTTTCAAGTCGTGAACCGTTTCCTTCACTTGTTTGATTTTTTTCTTGGCTTTCTTTGAGGGATTTATTGACTTCCTTTAATTTTTTGTTTGTCTTTTCCTTGATTCATTTAAGGGAAGTTTTCATTTCTCTTTGAGGGCCTCTATCATCTTCATAAAGTTATGTTTCAGGTCGTTTTCTTCTGCTTCATCTGCGTTGGGATGTTCAGGTCTTGCTGTTGTAGAACCACTAGGTTCTGGTGGTGCCATATTGCTCTTTACATTTAAAAATACGGAATGCTTCATGAATCTGCATGTCATCCTTGTGCAGGGGCTATGCTAATCTTCTCTATATCATTCCAATTTTGGTATATGTGCTATGGAAGCAAGCACCCCATCACTTTTTTTTCTAAGCCATAGTATCCACATGTGGAATCTACTACAAGTTGGTAATATTTTCTATTGTGGAATAAAACTTTATTGCAAAATGGAAGGTAGTACACACGTGTGGACCATATGGTTTCTGTCACAGTTACGTCTGTTACCAGGGCATATAAATATACTCAGCTAATATATAAGTTAGTGGATTTGGACACATTCTAATAAAACTTTAACAAGAATCAGGTTGCATTTGATTAATGAGCTATATTTTGTTGAATTTTTCTAGCTATTGTGTAACACCATTGCTGGTCGACAGGACAAATGTCTACTCACCCCAGATAGGGAATTGATGACAGAAAAATAATGGATATCACTGAAGTACAACTTGTTGAACCAATGAGTTTTTATTGGGGTTACTAACAAGGGTGATATGGGTGAAGAGTCACAGGAGCAGGGGGGACTCAAAAGCAGCTGCAATATTGGGAGCCTACCTCACCATAGTTACAGCTCACAAAGGCTCACTGCACACTTGAGGCAGCTTAATGGGTCAGAGAGAGTCTCTTCCATGCAGCTCAAGTGGTCTCTGTCTCCTCAGTATTTGCTGTTTATATAAGCTTGGGGAGGAAGAGGCTTTGTGCATCCTGCCAGTTTCATGGACTTCCTGAGTCGTTTGCTTCCTAGTCTTTATGCACCCCTTTTTAAAACTTCCTGAGTCTTAACAAGCTTCTCTCCAGGGGGAATTTTTTTTTAACTTGGAGGTTCTTTTTGAGAGTCTGAGTTTTGCAAGATCTTATAGGGTATCCTTAGAGCTTGACACAGTTTCTAGAACCCATAGCAAGAAAACATTAGTTGTTGAACTGTGATTATGAGACAGTAATGAAAATGAGTACATTTGTACTAGTCATTTTTTCAAGTGGCACGTTTAGCACAGGAAGTCTAAGGCAAAAGACTATGTACTGTAGATACATCTTTTTACGAAGCTCAAAATGATTAAAAAGTTGATTTCCTTTTAGTATTGATATAACAGAGGCTGAATTTACTCTCCCACCTCAAAGTGTATATATAATTATACATTATATATTATGTATATTTAATTATACATAATACATATTATGTATATTATATATGCAGCATTTTATGTGTATATTACATGCACAAACTATACATACACACACACACATACACACACACACACACACACACACACACACACACACACAATCATCAAGTAGTATTTGTGAGCTCTGAGAGAAATGAAGAAATCTCCATGAACAATACAGTGAGACTTCCCTGCAGGAAGGAGGATTCCTAAAACAGTGTGGCAGCCTTGCTGAGAGAAGGAGATAGAAGTATCTGAAGGGACTCTGACCAGCTCAAGCATAGTGAGCATGACTCTGGCAGGCCTTGCCCTTCTCCCATTCCCTATGCCTGGCTAAAAATCCTTAGATTACACCCCTAAAGTTAGCCACCAAGGTCTATTCCCTTGTTTGACCACTTCCTCCTCCTAAGGCCTACTGCCAAGGTCTAGGATTCAAGTATTGAAATCCAGCAACCAGAAACCCCTCTGGATAATGTAATTGACACACCCAATTAAAATTAAACACCGCACTATGTGCCACATCTGTTTCCTCTCTATCCAGAGGTAGTCCTTTCCCCCTTCTCCCTTTCCCTTGGCCCCTTCCCCTTCTCCCTCATCCCCTATCTCCTTTACCACCACATCCTAGCCCATCTTAACACAGACCTCTCCTTTTGCTCCTCTTAAAACTTACATCTGCAAGGTCACTTGCTGCTGTTTTCTGCCTGAGTCAGAAGCAGCCACTTTAACTTTTCTTCCCCACTTAATAAAGGATCTCTCTGTGAAAACAGGTGTTTGGGTGTGGTTTGTGCCTAATCCAGGGTCCTGGAGGACGCGCCCTACTGTGTGGGGGATTTCCTTCACTACTGATTGTGAAAAATCAATGTGGTTAGAATTTGGAGGCAGGGGAGACAAACAGCATGTTGTGGAGAAAACCCCTGATGTATTTATTGGCTGTGCACTAATCTGCAGGAGTGAGAGGAAGCTCCTGAGCTAGGTAAAGAAATGCCAGGCAACACTAAACAAAACAACTTTCACAATCCTCAGGGCAAACAGAGGCCTATGGTATGAGTGATGATGGAAGACAACGTCAAAAATAAGATTTGGGGTTCAGTCCTTAAAAGGATGCAAGATTAGTGGTGGGGCTGAATTTTAAAAAGTGCTTGATAAAAAGTTTGAAAACACCAAAATGATTTAAAATAACCAAAAACCAGAATAAGGTACAATACAATTTGAAAGCCTACTTTAAAGTTGTGCACCTCACCGTGTACATGAATGTCTGCCAGCCAATTAAAAATTATCAGGCATTTCAAGAGGCATGACAATCCAGTCTGCAATATGGAGCAAAGGCAATAAAAGAGGCTCCCAAATTATTGAATCTAAAATTAACGTCAGAAAATTGAAAGGACTTTTATAAACAGGGTACAGTCATACACTTAAGAAAGAGGAAGAAAGCAGAAGCAGATCAATACAAGTCATAAAAGAGACTGAATAGAATTTACAGGGGTGAAAAATGCAGTACCAGAAATGAAAGATTCTCGATATTACTAACAGAAAATAAGATACCATAGAAAAAAGGTAAACGATTTAAAAAATATGCAAAGACAGACTTCAACTGTGAGAGCAACATTGTAGGAAATCACAGAGGTGTCTTGGGTGTCTGGGAAGGGAGCACATGGTTGAGGAATGAGTAGAGATAGTGTTTGTAAATGCTGAAACTTCAAACTCAATCCAAGAAGATCAATAAATACCAAACACAATCAATTTAAAGAACATAAAGACAGTCTAAAATCTTGTGAAAATCATGAAGAGAAAACCCACTAAGCAGCCAAAGAAAAATACGTAGTTCAAACCAGATGAGACCAGCACCAGACTTCTGATCAGGAACTATTATAAACTAAAGGAAAATTGAACAACATTTTTACCTCACCAGAAGGTGGTGGGTGAGAAAAAAAACAAAAACACTGAACAACTATCCAACAGCATGTAATATCTTTCCAAATAAAAAAGGAAGGAATGTTTTTCATAGAAAAATAGTTTGGAAAATTTACCACTGGCAAGCCACCAGTTCAAGAGGATTATAAAAAGATCTTCAGGCAAAAAAAAATAACAGAAGTTTGGATCTTACAAATGGAAGTGCTGAAATTGGCAAATATAAGGGTAGATATACAAGATTTTTCTTCACTTGCAAACCTTAAAAAAGACAATTAACTTTAAAATAAATTATCACAATACACATAAATTTTTTTAAAAAAATACATGGTGCCTGAACAGTGACATTTCAGAACCACAAGGGAGGAGTTGCTGCGTTCTCCCCAGTGTGGTGTTGGAATGGCATGCCTTCTTGAGAGAGATCTACCATACGAGAACACAGCTGTACCCCAATTTGCTAATGAACTAGAGACTATATTGCAACCCCCGAAAGTAGCATCTATGTGATGGGATCACAAGCAGGCTGTGACATCAACTGCATGACCTTCGCAAGGAGTTGATAAGACATGAAACTGGCACTTTCTGGATGACTTAGTGGGTGAAATGTTTGCTGTGAAAGCACATGGACTTGACTTTGGATTCTCACATCCACACAATTGTCAGGCATGGTGGTATATATCTGTAACCCAAGTGCCATGATGGCAGAGACAAATGGATCTCAGGGTCTCACCTGGGATCTCAGACTAGTGGAAGTGGCAAGCTCCAGGCTCAATGGAGCCTTGTCTCAAGAATAAGGAATATAGCAATAGAGGAAGATACCCCAACTCTACCCTTGCCCTCCAGAAGTACACACACAGGCAAATGCATCTACACACATACACATGCATCCATACTCCCCTCACAAGGCATGGAATTAAGGCTGTCTGTTCCCAAAGAACTTGCCCACTTAGAAGAGATATTGCAAAAGGAAATAGATGATGTGGATAACATCTTCCATGTTAGTCTCTGGTTTAGACAAGGTAATGGTTGAGATGGAGATATTATCTTGCTGTTAATTATAACTGGGAGAGAAAATTTATTCCTGGAATAAAAAAAATCCTTGAACCTATGGGAAGAACTGAAAAAATTTGGTGGAACTATTTGGGAAAGATTAGGAAGTATAGTCTTGTTAGAGGAGATGTGTTGCTGGGGGCAGGATTTGGAGTTTCAAAATACCAGACTCTCAGTGTCTTTGCCTTCTACTTGTGGATCAATATGTGAGCTCTTAGCTACTGCTCCAGCACACAGCTACTGCCTCAGCACCACATCTGCCTGCCTGCTGCCATGCTTCCCACCATGAAGGTCAGGAACTCTAACCCTCCTAAACTGTGAGTCCCAAATAAACTTTTCTAGATGTTGCCATGACATTATTTTCGTTGCTACTTCACAACTGTAATTTTGTTACTGTTATGAAACATAATGTAGATATCTTATACGCAGGATATCTGGTATGTGACTCCTGAGAAAGGGTTGAGGATCTTCAGAGCCTCAATCAAAGGGGTAAAAACAGAGACCCTGCCTCAACCATTTCTCTAATGGGATGGCCACAATTACTGCAGGTGAGCATCGTATAGTGAGAGCTACAGTCCCATGAATTGCAGATCTATCAGTCCCCATCAGTTCACAGAAAACTTGGGCCTAGGTAGATGCTGGAGCCACATGTTCTTTGGTTCCTGAAGGCTCCCAAGAGTGTTAGAGGCATCAGTGCACAGACATGAAGATGGAGTGATATAGGTAAAAAGGGTTAAGCTTGTCATAGGAGTCAGCCATTACTCCCCCAGAATATGTAGTGCACATTGATCTAGGGTTAGATGTTGTTTGCCCATTCCTCGGACCCTTTCAAAAGCCAGTTTTGGCCAGTAGAGAGATGGTGCGGGCTCAGACCCTGTCAGATCCAAGCAGAGGTGGAGCAAGGGGGAGGTACAGAGGCAGCAGATGAGCACACCCTGCTTTCCCTAGGCCTTGG